GTTTTTTTAAGAAGTACATACCCGAAGTTGAGTAAAAAAACCTTTAAAAAGTGAATTTTGCATAATAGGTCCCCTTTAACATCCCAGCCTTGAAAGCGCTCCCTCCGCCCTCCCACTCCTGCATCCTGATCCGTAAAACAATTATTAGCCCAAGGTATTGTGACCATGTAAATTACATGTTTATTTATGGACACAAATTAAGTGACGGAGAACTTTAATTTCCTTTTCAACAATGCAAGGACAACCTGAAGCTATAATGAGGCTTTAAATCCATGTTAAGTAACTTCAATAATTGTTATAATGATATTTAGAGTAATGAGATTGACGAGTAAAAAGAAGATTAGCCTACTGAATGTCATAAGGCAGGCATGAAACAAGGAGTCATTTGGAGCACAACAACATAAATTAAAGCAATTGGAGGAGAACACAAGGGGAGGAGGGAATGTAAATAAATTATTCTTCAAAAAAATGAAAACATTACATTTTTTAATAAACATGCAGCAGGAAATTAAAGTTGTTTCATTAATTGAGTTACTGGTTATTCAGTTGTTTTTAAGGCCTTTGCAAATAGATCAATTCTTACAACAATCACAACAAAAACTTGAATATGTCAGATCATAGATTAACAAACACATTTTTGTTGGGATTTGTCAAATGGGTATTTCTGGGCCAGACACACATTTGCTCACAGGTTGTATAGAAATGAGTTGAGATGTATTCAACAGATTAAACCATTTTATTTTGAAGTTTCTAAGCGTGATGGCAGATGATATTGAATTACGAAGCTGTATAAACGATGTTTATTATGACTATTAGGGCCACACTACGAGATTTCTTTTTAAATTACGAGATTAAAGTTGTAATATCACGAGAATAACGTCATAATATTACGAGATTAAAGTAATAGTTTTGTTATGACAGACTTCAGCGGATAAAAACCGCAGAAAACCAAACAAAACAAAAGAAACAGCTGGATTACTGTCATGTCACTATCAGTACCTCCACAGCAGGGGTCAGCAGAGCGCCACCGTCACGTCGTGTCTGCCTGAATTGAGAAGACGAAGAAGAACGAGGAGCGGGGGTTTCTGTTAGCCGCTAAGCTAAAATGAGGGACAATAAAAGCCTAACCGAAGCGGGAAAGGAAATACCGGCGAAAAAACAAAAACTAAGCAGTGACGAAAACAGTAACCCCGATTTATCAGGAGACGAAAACGTAAGCGCTCTAATCATGTTGTTTTATTATAATAAATTGTTGTTTTAACTGGTTACTTACACCCTAAAACCGGTTAGCTAGCATCATGCCCACCTGCAGCTGTGTGATGATGACTACTTACTCTTAACAAGTTTAGTAACATTTCACACACAGTCAGCTGAACTGCGCGTTTATAGCTGTAAGCACAAATAAATGCTGGTTTCTTTGATTTGGCTTCAGCAGGTAGAGCAGCTAATTTAAACTAACTGGGTTTCAGCTATAATGTTGCATTCAGTAAATTTAATTGTTTCTATTATCAGAATTGATGACAAGGTTAAACTTTTCAAAGCGTTTACACTTCTATTTATGGAGTTGGGATTCATTTCAAAGCCATAAAATACATTATTTTATTTTGTTATAAAGTGATACTGGTGCAGCTGCAGGTTTATGTTATTAATCTGTAAATAATCAACATGAATTAGATTTATTAGAGCATTTAAATAAAAAATAGTGGGTTAAAGTTGTGTCTGTACAGGTATTATTTTACCTCTAGGTAACAACTGCTTTTTGGACCACAGTGACATTTCTTGTGTTGTTGTTGGGTTTGGTAGGATGATGCTGTCAGTGTTGAAAGTGGGACCAATGCAGAACGCCCCGACACCCCCACAAACACAGCCAACGCCCCCGGCAGGAAGAGCTGGGGCAAGGGCAAATGGAAGTCCAAGAAATGCAGATATTCTTTTAAATGTGTCAACAGCCTGAGGGTAAGCACGCCCACCATCCTGAAGTCCTCTCAGGAAAACCTTAACTCTCTGTCCCCATGATGCATTTGTTGTTGTTGGTTAGGAGGACCACGGCCAGCCGCTGTTTGGAGTCCAGTTTAACTGGCACAGCAAGGAAGGAGACCCTCTGGTGTTTGCTACAGTTGGGAGTAACAGGGTAATTTATTACTGCAGTGTGATTTCATCCAAATATGTCACTTGTTTTTATTTAGTTAGCCTGTTTTTCCTGTTACTTGCCCAGGTTCTGTTCATTTATTGTTGTACAGTCAGGCTGAAACTCACTCCCAAATCAGTCTTTTGCTAATAAGCTTTTTTTGGGGGGAGGAGGTTATGTTTTCTCACCAAAGTTATTGAGCCTCCTTTAAAATAGTTTGTAGAGCCAAAAAGTATGCCCACTTTACACAATAAGATGTCTTTTTTTGGACAGTTTAAGAATAATTTGAACATGTTGTTTTCTTCAACAGGTAACTCTGTATGAATGTCACTCTCATGGAGAAATAAGACTCTTGCAGTCCTACGTTGATGCAGACGTATCCTTCCTCCTGCTCAAGTGCAAATCAAACTCCCTCCGTTCTGTCGTTTATTTCACAGAAATGTATTTCTCCATGTCAAACAATATTTTCAGTTGTTTTCAAGTAGATTTTCTTGACTAAACTTGTTCAAAGGCAGATGAGAACTTCTACACGTGTGCCTGGACCTACGACACAAACACAAGTCATCCTCTGCTGGCGGTAGCCGGCTCCCGAGGCATCATCCGCATCATCAACCACATCACAATGCAGTGCATCAAGGTAACCTGTGTAAAGATATTTAAAAGAAAAAAACAGTTGTCATGACTTCAAGACTCCCTGGTTCTTAAAGGGAACTCAGACTAGTTGTAACATTAGATATTATGTAATAAACATTTACTTCTGTATAAAAACAAGACTTCTCCGGTGAAGTTATATCCAGCTTGAAGGTTAACTTGGAAGATCATATTTTTAGTCCTTAGAAATGAAACTGGAGTGTGTTGACAGAGAGGAAGGTGTAAAAATGACTGAAAACTGAAAATTTGGATGGAGCTGCTTCATGGATGTCTTACCTCAGCTAAGCCCGTTAGCTTTTGCGTTAGCTCCCAAGCTAATACGTGTTGAAATATGGTGTTGGCTATAAAACAAATAAATATCACATAAGCCCCTGAGCCAAATTTTCTAAACATCCTCTTGATCACATCTGGTCGTTTTAACCCATATACTGTGCAGAACATAAAAACTAATAATAGGGATGCACGATAACTTATTTTTAGAACCGATAATCGATAACTTTCTCCTAATGGCTGATAACCGATAATAACCGATAACATGCCAAAAGACTAGTCAAAATGGGTAAGATCATAACATAAATAAACAACACCAAAACCAAGTGACACTGTAAATTATACTATTTCAAATAAACTCTTAGCAAACAAACATTTCTTAAAGTATATCAAACAGAAGGCACATTAATTATAAAATAAGACCTTTAACATTGATCTCAGATTTAAACAAAAGAGAAAAAGTCATTCCACAAGTTCAAAACAGATAATGCACGAACACAAGTTAGATTCAAAGTACATTTGTTTTTATTATTATTAATATATGATTTAAAATATTATTCTACCTGAAACAGCTTCTGAGAGAGTGAATGCATTACGACCGCAGCATACTTACAGAGGCAGCGGCTGTTCAGCTGGTAAACCGTGGCGAACAACAAGGAGATAAAAGCTTTGGTCTTTAGGTGAACGGCTGCTTGTCAAGCTCCATCATTTTCTTCGTTTAAGTGCTTGAGATCTGCGTCCTCTCTGGCAGTTTTATTGGATTTGTCAAAAGCCTCTTGAATGATTTAAGTCCAGATGAGTTCTTGAACGCTAGCTTGTTGTTGTTAGCATTTTAGCAGACGGACTCTGTGCTGCATTCAGGAGGTAACGGACATTACATGTTCAGAAATTGGGAGTAGTTGTTCCAATGTTTATAATTATAAAGTTTGTGTGTAACATACAGAGTTAATTGGTAAAACAACTGGTTGTTTTTCAGCACAGAGTATTATAATTACTGTTCCAGTGAGAAAGTAGTTTTTCCGACACCACTCAAACGTTGCTCGGGTCGTGTTGGACGGGAAGCAGCTTGACCAAAACGGATAAAAATAAACACGCATTCTCATCGCTGCGCTGGCAAACGTGTCGGTTCTGGTTTTTATGAAATCGGACCGATAACTATGGTGCACCCCAAATATGACTGTTTTGTCACACAGCTTTTTAGCCTGAGGCTGTTTCTCAATTCAGGGGTTGCAACTCGTGGACCATAGGCTGCCAGTGTAGACTGCATAAATGGTTAAGACAGTCTAGTCTATGGTTGATGCATGTTTGTGTGACCACGTGCTGCCCCGTTACCATGGTGATATATCTTAATCACATGCCTTCAGTTGTCTTTTCATGGTATAACTTCACAAAATTCAATATAAAAAAAGCTGCATGGAAATAATAATAATAAAAAACACATTAATTTAACTCCATTATCAATACTTACTGTTATTGCATTTTATTTAACTTCTCATTGCAGCATAAATTTCATCAGCTAAGTTACATTTAACTAAGTTACAAAACACATTTAAATAAATAAATGCTGCTGAATGATTTCAGCATGTCTCGCATGTACAGGTAAAATATAAACCACACGCACAGAAACCAAACCGTCTGATGACTCTTGAATATCTTTTTTACTGGTTGCACTCTTAAACCTGGGCAAAATATTACCTAAGAATTAAACTCTAATAATTAGGTCCTGATGCATCTCAGTAATCCAGGTAAAAAATCAAAAGGAAAAAAATTGTATAGGTCCTCTGGACGGGTTCTTCTTTAATGAAACGTTTCGTCTCTCCTCCAAGAAACTTCTTCAGTCTGAGAGTTTCAGGTAAAAGATCTTTTTTCTAAAATCATTTGGCTCAGAGTCCCTGAGATGGACTGAGGACTTGTCTTAAGTTCAGTCAGGTGTCTCCTCCCTCTCTCTGTTAACATGAGCCTATCCAATGTTAAATCCATCTTATCCAATGCTAACAATAGCCTATCTAATGGTAACACTAGCCTATCCAATGCTAATGCCATCTTATCCAATGCTAATATTAGCCTATCCAATGCTAAAGCCAT